AGGCTGCGCGGGCGGTTGACGTGGCGCACAGGGATGAAAAGAGGCCTAAACGGGCCTAAACGGGCTGCGCGCGGGATGCGTAAGAGGCGCGCGTGGGAAAAAAAAAGGGCCGCGCGCGTGCTGCCGAGGCGCGCGCGGGCAGTAGGCAAGTGAGAAGAATTGAACGAGAATGAATAACTATGAACAAAGTGAGTACATATAGGAAACCCTAATTGTGTTGTACCCCCTATGGGATACCCCACTATAGCCTACACAACAGCATGAGCTATAATGTTCTGACACACCCCCATAGGCAAAGTGGGGGAGAACAAGGGGTCACAAGACCAGTCAAGCAAAGCAAAGCAAAGCTCAGGGTGGATCACAAAGTCACCACACAGTCCGAGCACAAGGTCAAGGCCACAAGGCCAGTTCACATGCAGGAGGAGACATATATATATAAGGCTAAAAAAGCAAGAGCAGGTATATATATATATATGCAAGAGTACAAGCAAGGTCAAGAGGTGAGTAAGTGAGGCAAGACTGGGACAAGTCCCAGCTGAGTGCAGAAACGCTGATGATCACAAGGCGGAAGTGCCTTGGTGAAAACATCAGCAGTGTTGGCCTCAGAGGCCACGTACGCAAGTCGCAACTGACCACGCTGCTGCAGCTCACGAGCAAGGAAGTAACGGAGAGCAATGTGCTTCGTTCTGTGCTCCAAGCGCTGCTCTCGACACAAGGCCAGCATGGCCTTGTTGTCTACGTACAGCACTGGAGGAGAACGAGGCGGCTCTCCAAGGTCAGTCAGCAGGTAGGTGAGCCAGCGAAGCTCCTGTGCAGCCATGGCCCCGGCGTAGATCTCAGCCTCACAACTGGAGCCGAGAACAGAAGACGAGCGAGTAGCCCGCCACGAGACAGAGCCGGAACCAAGACTGAAGGTGTAGCCCTGCGACAACCGCTGCGTAGCCTGGTCGTCAGCCCAAGAAGTGTTTGTGTGTCTAGTGAGGACCACTGGACTCCGCCCTCCAAGCACTAGCCCCATGCCCGACGTACTGCACAAGTAGCGCAACACCCTCTTCGTTGCAGCCATATGCTCTGGTCGGTGTCTCCCAGGAGCAACATAGCGTGCAAGAATGCTAAGAGGGTATGAAAGGTCAGGTCATGTGCAGGTCATCAGGTACATGAGGCAGCCAACAAGCTCTGCATACGGGCCACTCGACTCTACGGACTCATCCGAAGGCAGAGCTGAGAGCGAGTGGCGAGTAGACAGAGGAGTGGCCTGAGGCGAGGAGTACGTGAAGCCGAAGCGCTGAAGGACCTGCTGCACCATGTGTGACTGAGTCAGGGTAATGGTGCGGCGTGCTCTGTCCCGGGTGATCTGCAAGCCAAGGTAGCTGCGCAGTTCACCCAGGTCTGTGCACGTGTGTCTCTTCTGCAGCTCAGACTTCACGTAGGCGAGTCCAGCAGTGTCAGCTGTGGCAAAGACCAAGTCTTCGACGTACACGAGGATGTAGAACGGCGGCAGAGAGGTGTCGGTGCGCAGAAACAACGACGGGTCGGCAGTAGAGGGAGCAAACCCAAGAGCCGCAAGCGTAGTCCTCAGTGTGTCGTGCCACTCACGCGGTGCCTGGCGGAGACCGTAGACTGGCCGTCGGAGGCTCCTCTGGGTGCCAGGAGGGAAAGTCCCAGTGAAGCCAGGTGGACGGCGCAGCCAGATCTCCTCGTGCAGGCTGCCCTGCAAGAAAGCAGTGCTGAAGTCAAGAGAGTGAAGCTCGTAGTCGCGCTGAGCGGCTATGTCCAGCAGCACCCGAAGAGTGGTCATCCTCGGGGTGGGAGAGAAGGTCTGAAAGTAGTCAACTCCCTGCCGCTGACTGAAGCCACGAGCCACGTACCGCGCCTTGAAGGCAGGTGGAGAGCCAGGCGGCCGCTTCACCCTGAAGATCCACATGCCACTGACGATGTTCGCCCCAGGAGGGGGAACCGCGTCAACGTAGGTGCCTGTGGACTTCCAGGAAGCCATCTCTGCATCCATAGCTGCCTGCCACTGAGAGGAGTAGGGACCCTCTACGGCCTCCGCGTAAGAACGCGGAGTCGGGATGTCTAGTGCATCCGGGTCTCCCTCAGGGGCAAGCAGTACGGACGCGAGATGAGGTGAAGCAGCAGCCAGACACTGGAACTCCTCCTGCCTGTCCTCAAGGACGTCCGTGCCAAGAGCACACTCACCCCCGACGGACGGAGGACAGACAGACGCAGACTCAGCAACAAGACTAGCAGCGTAGTCTAGACGACAGCGAGCAGCAAAGTCGACGAGCTCAGCAACAAGAGCAGACGCAGCAGTGGACTCAAAAGAGGGGTCAGTGACAAGAGTAGCAAGAAGACGCGTGACAGTAGGACTGGCAGCACGAAGAGAGTCCGACTCCGGGTCGGCAAGAGCAGGAAGAGAGGACTCAGGAGGAGAAGGCAAAGGGGCACACAGAGGAGCAGTGGACGGACGCAGAGACATCCGGTGCGTGCCAGGGACAGGAGGAGGACGCTGACGCGAACCGCGACCACTAGCACGAGCAGCACGAACAGGCAACGCGGGACGAGATGCAGGCTCACGACGCTCAGCAAGACCTCCAGTAGGACCAGTGTAAGGAGAGGGAGTAGGCAGTGGGGAGGCGGGCTCCAACAGTGACTGTGACTGGACAGGCGGGGGACACTCTACAGGAGGAGAAAGACCAAGAACCTGCTGCAGGAGCGGAACGAAGTACGGCCGAGGCCGCGCGGGGACTCCAGACACAGCAGGGACAGCACCAGCACCCTCAGCGGCAGCACCAGCGCCAACAGCACCTCCAGCGGCAGGACCTCCAGCAGAGCTAGCAGCAGGACCACCGCCAGGATAGACAATAGCAGTCTCAGCACCAACACCGTCAGTAGCTCCAGCTCCAGTAGGACCTGCAGGCCCAGCAGCTCTGGGACCGGCAGCACCAGCACCCTCAGCGGCCGAAGAAGCTCCAGCTCCAGCAGTACGCCTCCAGCGGCTAGCAAACCACTCGCGCAGCTCCCGTGGAGAGAGTGGCTCCCGCCGAGACGGAGCACCCGGAGAACCTCCAGGCCCAGCACCGCCAGACGCCACAAGGGGAGGTCCAGCGGCGGCACGCTCCGCACCTCCAGGCTCAGTAGCTCCAGACGCAGCACCCCCAGGCTCAGCAGCTCCAGACGGAGCACCCCAAGGCTCAGCAGCTCCTGACGTAGCACCCCCAGACTCAGCACCCCCAGACTCAGCACCCCAAGTGGCAGTACCCCCAGGCTCAGCATCCCCAGGCTCAGCACCCCCAGGCGCAGCACCCCCAGACTCAGAACCCCCAGGCTCAGCACACGCAGCAGGACCATAGTCACCAGCAACCTCGACCGGCTCGACTGCGTCAACCTGGGACACACCTGAAGGGGAAGGACCCTGAGGGGGAAGGGGGTCTACCGGGGGGGGACCTGGCACAAGGAAGTGCGGCGGCGGGGGAAGGGAAGGAGTGCGGTAGGGGAAGAGACGGTAGAAGGGGACTGACTCGTCGAACGTGACATCCTGGGAGGACAGAACACGACGAGAGGAGGGGTGGTAGAACTGCCACCCTGGAGCGTCAGGGGGGAAGCCAAGGAAGACACAGGGAGCAGCACGAGGGGACAACTTGTCCGCAGACAAGTCGCGGACAAACGCCCGAGATCCCCAGACACGGAACGCAGACGCATCGCCGACCTTCCTAGTCCACATCAGAGCTGGGGAGGTGCGGACCTTCCCTGGTCGGGAAACCCCGGGGTGAAGGTTGATCTGATGCGCCGCGTACCGAACCGCAAACGGCCACAGAAAATGGGGGGCAGCCGCATGCATCATGGACGTACGAGCGACGTCCATGACCATGCCAATGCGGCGCTCAGCAATCCCATTTTGCTGCGGAGAGTCCGGAAGCGTAAAGGTCTGGCGGATGCCTCGTGCACGACAGTAGGCTCGCAGAAGGCAAGAGGAGAACTCTCCACCTCGGTCAGAGTGCAGACGCAGAACAGGAAAGTCCGAGCCGAAGCTCCTCCTGAGCTGGAGACGAGCTGCGCGGATCCAGTCGATCAACACCTCAGTGACATCACCCTTGCTGCGCAAGGGGAAGACTGTGGTGTAACGCGAGTAGTCGTCAACCACCAGCAGGAAGTAGCGCTCGTGACCCTGTCCACGGACGCGGGCCGGGCCCCACACGTCCATGTGAAGCGTCTGCAGAGGAGCCTCTGTTGGAGGAAACTGGGAGGAGTGGGGGGCAGCGCGGAGCCGCCCCTCGATACAAGGGACACAGGAAGGTCCAGGCCCCGAAGGAAGGGGAGGGAGAGACCGGGGGAGACCAGAGACAAGGACATGGGAGGCCATGTCCCTAAGACGAGGCAAGGAGGGGTGGCCAAGACGGTGGTGCCACAGGAGAGTCTCGTGAGACAGGAGGCGACACGAGCAGGGGGCAGACTCAGGACCAGACCTGGACGCAGCAGCAAACACCTGACCCGACGCAGCTACCTGGCCAGACGCAGGGACAGGAGGAGACTCAGTGGTCAGGGTGTAGAGACTCGACCCCGGCCGACGAGAAAACGTGGCCAGGTGACGGCCTGTGCGGGCGTCCGAGCAGTGGGTCACCCGCTGACTCGCAGGAGTAAACTGGTGAACCCCCGCATCCTGCAGTTCAGCACCACTCACCAAGTTCGTCGAGAACGAGGGGAGGTACAGACCAGACAGGGTGCCCGAGGGGGCAGCCGGACACGGGAGGACAGTGGAGAAGTGAGAGAGGACTGGACCCCCAGAGGGGTCAGCCAGGGAGACTGCAACCGGCCGACCAAGCGGCGTGAGTGTGGTGCGGTCCCGAAAGAAGGAGCGAGAAGCCCCTGAGTCAAGTGTGAAGGTGAGGGAGGCCGAAGCCGATGCAGTACCTGAGAGCGCAGACTCACCAGTACTTGAGAGCGCAAACGCGCTGGCACCTAGAGCTGCAGCCTCACAAGCACCTAGCGCAGCAGTACCAATGCCCGGGTCGGGCGGGAAACACCGGTAACAGTCACCCTCATCACTAATAGTCACAGCATACATGGCAGCAAGGATAGCATCAAAGTCAAGATCAAAGATCGCTACGCCAGCCCTAGACAGCTCACTCCAGCGCGGAATCTCACTAGCCTCGGGGAATTGCTGACGCCCAGCGTCCGACAGGCGGCCAAAGCAGCGCTGGGTGGAGTGGGCACCCCCACACTGCTCACCCGCGCGGTCGCCGGAACGAAGAACGTAGGTGCACGGGCCAAAACCCCCACCACGCTGACGCTGCGTGTACCACTCACGGAGCTGCTGAGGCGGGGGGATGTCCTGGGAACGCTGCTGCTGCTGGCGCTGACCACCACCAAAGCCGCTCCGCTGCGGGACACTACCCCGACCGGCTCCACCTCCTCCGCCACTGCCGCCTCCACCTCCGCCACCACCGCCGCCTCCGCTCCCACCGCCGCCGCCACCACCGCCTCCGCCTCCGCTGCTGCCACCACCACCACCACCCCCGCCACCACTCCCACCGCCACCCCCACTCCCTCCGCCGCCTCCACTGCCACCTCCACCGCCCCCGCCAGCGCCACCCGCGCCCTTGCCCCCCTTGCCCTTGCCAAGGCGGCGTCTCCCGCTAGGGGCAGACGCCGCGCCGACCGACTCAAGACCAAGCAGGTCGGCAACAGCAGCAGAGGCAACAGAGGGCAGCAGGGGGGAAGGAGAACACCCCTCAAAGATGGGGGTGCGCGGGTCACCACGAGAGGCTCCTACAGCGACTATGCTCTTCTCCGCCGCTAGGAGGGCCTTCTCGAGGAGGTCAACAGTGAGAGTGGTGGGACAGACTGAGAGGAAGTGGTCCCTGACTACGCGAAGGGAGTCAGGGAGGCGGGTGACTATATAATAGAGAGTGATGTACATGGGGGGGGGGTTCTTGGCGCAGAACTCAGCAGGAAGGGCGGCGCGGTAGCGAGTGTCACTAGTGCGGAGGTGCATAATGAGGTCAGCGACAGTGGGAAAGGCAGTAAGATCAGGAAAGAGGTACGGTAGCATGAGGCGGCTCAGTGCAGCAGTGGCAGGGGAAGAGTAGCGCGCAACTACAGCGTCGTACAAGGTCTGAGCACTCTTGTACTGACTAAAGTGCGCACGCTCAGTGGTAGGGAGGTGGCGACGCACAGCAAGACGTGCAGCAGCATCGCGGGTGGCCCACTGAGAGCGAACAGTGGGGTCAGCATCAGCAGCAGGAGCAGGAGAGGCGCCAGAGGTGAGGTCAAAGAGAGAAAGACCGTCCGCCCTATCGCACTGTAAAAACAGCTGCAGGTCGTCGACCCAGACCTCAAAGTCAATGGCTCGACCCTCAGCGTCAAACGCGAGGACACTAGGAGTAGCCATGACGACAGACTAGCAGTGCAAGCAGTGGGGGAAGGGCACGCAGTAGCAGTGGGGCGTGCTCACCAGACAGGGCAGGTCGGGCGGCTCGGCAGTAGGGCGGCTCGGCTGCGGGGCGGCTCGGCGGCTCGGCGGCTCGGCGGCTCGACGGCTGGGCGGCTCGGCGGCTCGGCTGCTGGGCGGCTCGGCTGCACAGCGGCTAGGCGGCTCGGCTCCTCCGGTACTCGGCGGCGCGGCAGTCGGCTGCTCGGGTGCACGCTGTAGGGTGGTGCAGTGGGCGGGGGCTCGGGTGGCGCGGGAGGAGAGGAGAGCGGCAGGGCCGCTAAGGGAGGCGGCGGGGCCGTTCAAGCAGGGCGGCGGGGCCGCTCAGGAAGGGCGACGGGGCCGCGAGGTGCAGGGCGGCTGGGCCGCGAAGTGCAAGGCGGCGGGGCCGCTGAAGCAGGGCGGCGGGGCCGCGAAGGAAGGGCGGCGGGGCCGCTTAGCAGAGGGCGGCGGGGCCGCGAATTGCAGGGCGGCGGGGCCGCGAAGTGCAGGGCGGCGGGGCCGCTGAAGCAGGGCGGCGGGGCCGCGAAGGAAGGGCGGCGGGGCCGCTTAGCAGAGGGCGGCGAGGCCGCGAAGTGCAGGGCGGCAGGGCCGCGAAGTGCAGGGCGGCGGGGCCGCTGAAGCAAGGGCGGCGGGGCCGCTTAGCAGAGGGCGGCGGGGCCGCGAAGTGCAGGGCGGCGGGGCCGCGAAGTGCAGGGCGGCGGGGCCGCGAAGGAAGGGCGGCGGGGCCGCGAAGGAAGGGCGGCGGGGCCGCGAAGGAAGGGCGGCGGGGCCGCTTAGCAGAGGGCGGCGGGGCCGCGAAGCGCAGGGCGGCGGGGCCGCGAAGGAAGGGCGGCGGAGCCGCGAAGTGCAGGGCGGCGGGGCCGCGAATGCAGGGCGGCGGGGCCGCGAAGGAAGGGCGACGGAGCCGCGAAGTGCAGGGCGGCGGGGCCGCGAATGCAGGGCGGCGGGGCCGCGAAGGAAGGGCGGCGAGGCCGCGATAGCAGGGCGGCGGGGCCGCGAAGCGTAGGGCGGCAGGGCCGCTAGGGGAGAGAAGGCCGCTAGGGCGGCTCGGTGAGTGAATAGCCCGAGGCGCGACTCGGGATGAGTGCGCTTCGGGCAGTAAAAAAAAAACTCGAAGTGGTGGGCCCTAGGCGCAGTTCCCACAGGGGAACCTGCTCTGATACCATGAGAAGAATTGAACGAGAATGAATGAACTATGAACAAAGTGAGTACATATAGGAAACCCTAATTGTGTTGTACCCCCTATGGGATACCCCACTATAGCCTACACAACAGCATGAGCTATAATGTTATGACAGCAAGGTAGGTAGGCACGTGAGGTAGGTAAGAAGTAAACGGTGGGCCCTAATCCTAGGTCCTAAGGACCTATGCTCTAGATGCCATGTTAGAATCTTAGGCAAGGATGAAATTCGACTATCGAGAGTTTGGTACAAAAGTATGACCTAAGGGGTTGTACCCCACTAAAGCCTACCCAAAACTATAACATATAACTATGTGTTTGACACAATAGGGAGGAGCCAGACCGTCCCCACCGTGTACTAGGCTGCCACGACGTGGGCGTCGTGGCCACGCGTCGCTCCAGCGGTGATTTCTTTTGCGCGCCAAGTCGTACACCCCTTTGAAAATGTCAGAGCGCGATCCACGCGGCGCAAATCGGACCGTCCTGGGTGTAACTGTTCTGTGGCATCGCAAGTTGCAAGCGATGTCGGTGTCGACCAATTCATCCAAAGGCCCACAACCAAGCCACGCGGCACAATCTCAACACAGTCTAGGTTTAATGAACATAAGGAAACAACCAAGCGCGCCGAATGGAAGTCGGCGCCGATCTTAGGGCGCCCACGGTAGGGTTGCCATGCTGGGCTTCAATAATTCAGGGACCCTAGGAGATTGGAGTCGGCATGCCATAATTTCGGAACTGAGGGGCCAATGTCGGTCCCAAGCCACGTAACACACGCCCATTCCACCGTGGAAAGACCCAGGCTTACGCCCCTTCAGTGCAGCGCGGCGTCACATTAGCCATGCTTGGCACGTGGCACGTCGGACAATGCGCCGCCTTTATGAGAACACATGCATGGCGGCAGAAGCATAGGGGTGTGCATGAAGCGCGACAGCATCGGAGTCGCTCAGGACCAGACCCGTCCGTGACCGTGCGGGCCTGCTCATTCCCATGTCCGTTCCTGCGTTTCTTCTTGCTCTCTCGTGCACTTAGATTTTTTTGTCATCGCGCCTGTAGGTTACTCGGTTGCCGACTATTCGACCAAGTCGGCACAAGTTGCTTCGACTTGGTCAGTACTCATCAACGTCGACGTCTGCTGTTTTAGCTAAACATCGGTGCAAGCTCCTAACGTCTCGGCCCACCTACCAAGTCGGCGACGCATGGCCAGAGGTCGCCCTAGAGCCCAACAGTTGCAACCCATCCCACCCCCTGCCGACTCAGTAGACGCCGACATCAAAGCGGACCTGGAACATATCGAGGTCGAAGCCGAGTTAGACGCACTTGAGCGATAATTCGAAGAAGACTGCCGCGCAACTCTTTGGTCGTACACCGCACTCGTGACTCAGTACAGTCTCTGGTTTACCAACCTCCGCATCGCACACGGACGACAATAGAGCAACATACGTGCTGCCACATGGCCGACGTCGACATGTCCGACGCTAGTCCATCGACCGACCACAGTCCGACATCTACCGAGGAAGAGACGCTCCCGTTACTCTACGATCTTGACAAGCAGACGCAGATTCCAGAAGGGGAGTTCACCAAGGACATTCCCCCACCGCCGATCGGGGAGTGCAACAAGAAGAAAAAACAGAGTCCGACGCAAAATGGACAGCCAGGAACTTCGTCGGCACTGGCCTGCTCTGGAAACCAGGTTGAAGTCAAGGAGGAGGAGGATGGGGAGGAGGATGAGGAGGAAAGCGATGACGAAAACGATGAGCGTCCATCGCGTAGCACTAATCAGCTCACCTTGGAAGAACGACTCAGGCGGGAACTTGAATACATAGATAATCTGCTCGAACAGGACGCGGATGAGGACCAGGAGAACTTGTTGGTGTCCCGCGAACAGTGGAGGGCGGCCGACTTCGTCGAGGAAGACCTGGCTTACGCGTCCATCGACGTGGTCGTCATGGACGCCCTACGCCACCTGCAAACCGTGGGAAGGAACAGCACGCTGAGGCTGTACACCTCGTGGATCTATCACTACAAGAGGTGGGCGGCGAAGATGTTGAGGCAAATTTGCAGCAAGCTTCCGCAGGAGCACAGGCTTAAGCACGTCGACGAGATAGGGCACTACATTCGGGACAACAAGAAGAAAAACTGGGACCAAGAGGACGATGTCCCCTGGGCGTACGTGTGGCTGCACGGCCCTAGGGTCACCAAGTCCCGGCTTCGCGCATACGTGAAGTACATGGTTCGGGAGTTGAAGCTCGATGCCGAGTCCAGAAAGGAGGGCGACAACGCCACACGAACACAGCCTGTGCAATCTACAACGGTGCACACGCTCCTCGGGCGCATAAAGGCATGCCAGATGGCAGCGAGAGCGGAGGCGTCGCTATAACGAGAGACGGAGGTGAGCATCATGCGTGAGATATCGGTGGTCAGGTTGGAGGTGCGGTTCATGATCCGCACCAAGAACGAGCGGGACCTCCAGTCAGTTTATGTTTAACCTCTATCGACCACTCTCTTGTTGTCATGTACTAAGTAGACGCCGCCCTAAATACCCCTTACCCTCGGCATTGTCGGCAGGAACTGCGCCGATCGGCGTCGCGGAACCATTGGCGATACCTACACCGCCGAACAGTTCCGCCAGATCAAGATCAGGGTGCTGCCGACGTGGGCGGCCAAGGCGTGGAACCCGCGGGGTACGGGCCCTTCGCAGACGCTGTGGAGGTTTCTGCTCTTGAAGGTGCTCACGCTACTCTCCCACCACTCTCTCCTTTGCGGTCAAGGCATCCGCGAGATCCCGCTCCCCGACATATTCTTGTACCGACTGGCGAGCACCTTGTCGGTGAACCCGGAGAACGAGCCGGTCGTCATGGTCATCGCTGCGCGGAACTCGAAGACGTCTGCAGCAGAGCTACGCTGCGCGGCACCTCGAAGCGGAGTTGTGCGCCGTCGGCGAGACGGGCCTGTGGTCGCACTTCATCCTCGACCAGATCAGCCAGTTTCACGGCGTGCGCCTCATTCCGCCGGTGGACACCAGCACACGCGCGAGCTGGTACAAGAAGCACCTCTTCTTCGCCAAAAACGACACCGACCAAGGGGAGCTCTCCGCGGCAAGCCACCAACGCTGGACGCGGCAGTTGTGGGACAAGAACGGGGTGTTCTGCAAGAGGAACGTGCACGCCGCTCGAGCGAGAGGGGCCCAGGAGCTGGCCATCGATGGCACGCCGCGCGCCGAGATCGCGGAGCTGGGTCACTGGGCGCTCGAAAAGATGACGCGAGCGTAAATCACCGCCATTCCGGTGGGGGTGGTGATGAAGAAGGCCGGTTACTTTGGTTACAAGCAAGACTACTTCTTTGGTATGAGCAGGGTGGAGCCCTCTGAGAAGCTCCTGAAGCTCCTCACCGAGCACATCTTCCCCGGCGTCGACGACATGCTGAAGACGGTATGTTAGTTGACGCCCTCGTAGCCTTGTCTTCGAGTCGTGTTGCCAACCGTGTCTGAACTCCTAATACACGTGACGAATTGCAGGCGGAAGGGAAGGCTGCCAAGGGGTCGGACGTCGACAAATCCACGGTGCACTTCTGGGGCACACTCCAGATGCTGCGCCGCATCGTCGCCGAGGACCTAGCGGTGAAGCTGGTCCGCACACCATGGCACCTGTACGTCCAAGGCTCCATGCTCTGCCGGATCCCCCTCTTCCAGCATTGGGCAAAACGGGCCGAGAGGGTCGACACCGAGACGATCAACAAGCGTCGGGACCCGACCCAAATTCAGGCAGAGATAAGTCGACGATGATCTGGATGGACGGTACTCCAAACCACCTCGCAGCTAATATCTTGGTCCTACCGCTGCAGGAAATCTCTGTCCGCTTTGACATCGAGTACTACAACATGTCCCTCAAGGCGAAGCTGACGAAGGAGATGGAGCGCGCCGCGAACGAGAAGATTGAATTCCTGGAGGAGCTCAAGAAGCGCGACGACACCATCGCGTCGCTCACCGCCGAGATAACCCTTCTCACCGAGGCACTCCGTGTGTAAGAAGCACGGAGAGTGCCGGAGGCCCTGCCGTCGGCTACCGCGCAAGCTCCAAGCGAGGGTGGCTCGGCGGATTCGGCCAACACGGGAGCGGGAGCCGACAGAGGGGACGAGAAACACCTGCCACCCCCACAGACAGACGAGGAGGCTAGTTACGAGCTCAACGTGGTACAACCGTGGCGGGAGGCCAAGACCGTGAGGGACACCTGGCGCCTCTGGAACTTCGCCACCGCCAATGACACCCGTCGGCTTTGCGACAGGTTCGGCGAGCCGGGCTTCGTCGACCGGGCGGCTCAGCGGCTCGGCTTCTGGGCGGCTCGGCGGCTCGGCGGCTCGGCTGCTGGGCGGCTCGGCGGCTCGGCTGCTGGGCGGCTCGGCTGCTCGGCTGTTCGGCTGCTTGGCGGCTCGGGAGCTCGGCGGTGAAGGGGCCGGGGAGGGGCCGAAAGGGGCGGCGACGGGGCCGCAAGGGGCGGCGTCGGGGCCGCGAGGGGCGGCGACGGGGCGGCAAGGGGCGGCGACGGGGCCGCAAGGGGCGGCGATGGGGCCGCGCAGGGGTGGCGACGGGGCCGGTAGGGGCGGCAACGGGGCCGGTAGGGGCGGCGACGGGGCCGTGTAGGGGCGGCGACGGGGCCGTGTAGGTGCGGCGACGGGGCCGGTAGGGGCGGCGACGGGGCCGCGAGGGGCGGCGACGGGGCCACTAAGGGTGGCACGAGGGGCCGTGAGAGGGGCCTCTAGGAGGGCTTGACAGAAGGGCGGCCCACGGGGCGCGCCTCGGGCAGGAGCGACTCGCGCTCCGGTTAGAAAAAAAAAAGTCGATTTCAGTGGTGGGCCCTGAGAAGCGTTCCCACTAGGGAACGTGCTCTATACCATGTGAAGAAATGAGGAATGAATGAACTAGCAAGGAGGTGAGTACATGTAGGAAAACCTAAAAGTGTTGTACCCCATATTGTCTACTCCACTACAGCCTACACATACTATAGCATGTGAGTTTGACAGCCCACACCTCCTTCCATTTATCCAACTCCCCCGGCTTCAAGACGGTGAGCTCCTTCATGAGCACCTTGCTCACGTAGCCGTCGTAGACGACGTACGCAATCGCGTGCTCGTAGGCCAGCTCCATCTTCTCCCTTGACTTGCCGATGTATCGATTCTGTCCGTTTACCTTAATCTCGCCCACCCACCCATGCCCGTCGCCGGACTTGTCTTGGCGGATGCCATGACCCCTGCGTCCATGCTCTTTATCTCCCTCGCCGCCCTCCTTGTCCTCCTCCTCCGCCTTCTCCTTCTTCTTCGCCGGCTTACCCTTGCCACCCGTCTTGTCCTGATTCCCTTTTGCCTTCTTCCTTTTCTCTTCCGACATCTCCTTCCCCACAGACATCTCCCGCGTGCTCCTCTGAGAGACCGCCTTCCCTTTCCCGCTGTCGTCCTTCCCCTTCCGTCCAGCATTTCTTTCGGCGACAGCACCCGTTGCAGCCGTCGGCTCCGCCGAACCCCCTCCGTGGGTCGCCGACGGCACCACATGCGCCGTGTCCATGATGGCTAGCGCAGGGGCGTGCTCAGGGCGTTTTGCTGCTTCAAAATGGGCCAGGACGGCAGCGAGGCCGGCATACTTGTCGGCGCGGCCGCCGGTGGCTAGCGCTGCACTCACTCCCTTCTCTGCCGCCACATCGACCACTGCTGCACTAGGTGTGGGTGCGGTCGCGTTTACCAACGTCGGTGTCGCGCTTTTGCCGGGTTCTGGCTGAGTCACCGGTTGAACTGCCGCTTTGCGTGCGCCTAAATGGGCGCGAAGAAACGCGGACTTCGGGTCCGCATGCGGTGGGGCGGCGATCGGAGGCGCGGCAGGTGGGGCACCGGACGATGTGCCGGCAAACTGCGGAGTGACGGCGTCGACCACGGGACGCTGCTGCACGTCCCTGCTATGTGCCTCCATGCGGCGGAGCATCTCCCTGAGCGCGTTACCACCGGGGGGCCCCTTAGCTGATGCCGGAGCATCGCCCTTAGCCGAAGCAGCCTTCGCGTCGCCCTTGGCGGCAGACGGGGCTGCTGGAGCTGGAGGGGCCGCACGGGCCTCCCCATCTTTGTTCGCACCTGACTGGCCGGCAAGCGCGCTGGTAGCCGCAGGGGGGTTACGGGGATTCGACTTGGTGGTGCTGGAGACCGAGGCGGAAGCAGCCTTTGCGTTGCCCTTGGCCGCCACCACGACGAACGGTCCTTTGGTGGTTCCGGTGCCGCCATCTTTCGCCGCCTGAGCAGTTGGGACCTCCTTGTCGGTCACGCCTTTCCCACCGCTTGCCTGAGGATGGGTCTGCTCGGCAACCAAAGGCGGACCAGGCGGAGCAGCGACGTTAGCGGCAACCCCGTCCGCAGGGCCACCCTCTGCCCCCCCGCTTTCGCCTCCCTTGCTGTACGACATCCTTATCACCTTCCACCCCGCCTTCGTCTTCAGCTGGTCGGCCACGCTCTGTGCCGCAGGCTTCGAGCCGCGGCTCCCGTCTGATCCCTTGCTTCGTTTCGCGCTTTCCTTTTCGTCTCTGTCACCCGTCCTCTTCAGGCCCTGCTTGCCGGTCGTCCTCCGTTGCGCGTGATCGGCGTCATTGGCCGACGGCGACGACCCACGTCGACCATGCGCCAAAGTGCCGATCATCTCGGTCATCATCTTCATCCCGGTAGCAACGAAAGACTGTTGGGTGGCCTCCGACACCGCCTTCATGATGTCGGCCTTGAACGACTTCAAGAGCTCTTCCGGGAGGGCGGGCGGCGTGGGATGAGGCGGTGGCGGCGGCTGCACGGCGAGCGGCCCCGCACCGCTGCCCGTAGCGACCCCGCCCCATCGCCCTTCGCGGCCCCGCCGCGTCCCCCCCGCCTCGTCGCATCGCCCGTGCGGGACCTGCGTAACGTCACCGCTGCCCGCCACGACGCCCTGCCCTAACCCGCGCCCTGGAGCAGCCGCCACTGCAGCACCCGCCCCTGGAGCAGCCGCCACAAAAGCAGCCGCCCCTGGAGCAGCCACCCCTGCAGCAACCGCCCCTGGAACAGCCGCCCCTGAAGCAGCCGCCCCTGGAGCAGCCGCCCCTGCAACAGCCGCCCCTGGAGCAGCCGCCACTGCAGCAGCCGCCCCTGGAGCAGCCACACCTGCAACAGCCGCCCTTGGAGCAGCCGCCCCTGCAACAGCCGCCCCTGGAGCAGCCGCCACTGCAGCAGCCGCCCCTGGAGCAGCCGCCATTGCAGCAGCCGCCCCTGGAGCAGCCGCCACTGCAGCAGCCGCCCCTGGAGCAGCCGCCCCTGCAGCAGCCGCCCCTGGAACAGCCACCACTACAGCAGCCGCCCCTGGAGCAGCCACACATGCAGCAGCCGCCCCTGGAGCAGCCGCCACTGCAGCAGCCGCCCCTGGAGCAGCCGCCACTACAGCAGCCGCCCCTGGAGCAGCCTCCCCTGCAGCGGCCGCCCCTGGAGCAGCCGCCCCTGAAGCAGCCGCCCTAGGAGCAGCCGCCACTGCAGCAGCCGCCCCTGGAGCAGCCGCCACTGCAGCAGCCGCCCCTGGAGCAGCCACCCCTGCAGCAGCCGCCCCAGGAGCAGCCACCCCTGCAGTAGCCACCCCTGGAGCAGCCGCCCCTACAGCAGCCGCCCCTAGAGCAGCCGCCACTGCAGCAGCCGCCCCTGGAGCAGCCATCCCTGCAGCAGCCGCCCCTGGAGCAGCCACCCCTGGAGAAGCCGCCCCTGGAGAAGCCGCCCCTGGAGCAACTGCCCCTGCAACTGCCGCGGAGCCCTCGCCCTATAGTGGTAGCGGCCTCGCCGTTGCCACCGTCATACGCCTGCCCTTCTCGCCACTGGTGAGCACTGCCCTGCCTGTACTACTGTTACTGCTGCTCTTGCTGCTACTGCTCTTTCTACTGCTACTGCTGCTCCTGGCTTGGCCAGATGCAGCTCCAGCGACGTCCGCGTAAGTCCCTCACGCCCCAGCAGCTTCGTGAGTGGTACGCTACTTGGGGTTTTCTGGGTGGTCGTAGTCCTGGAGTGAGTAGTTCGGCAACTGCTTGTAGTGGCCCGGTGAAGCTGCAGCGTCGTCCGTGCGCGGTCCTTTCGCCCCAGCAGCTTCGTGAGTGGTACGCTCAGCGTGGCGGGTTACGGGGTACTGCTCGCTGTCCGTACGTCATTTGCACTGGTGCTCGGACTGGTCAGCCTTGCGGGACGTTTGGTCACGCAGAGTCCCGCTGCTTCGCCCAGCTGAGCGACGCCTGGCGTACGAAGTTTGGCGACGCGGCTGGGCTCCCCGACTGGGTGGAGCTGCTTAGGCTGCGGGTAGATCTATACTTATGATTATGATGCTATCCTCACTGCCATGTATGCATTGTCTACTAGTGATGAGGGTGACTGTTACCTGTGTGTTCCGCCTGAACCGGGCATTGAGGCTGCTGCTCTAGGTGCTGGTGAGGCTGCTGCTCTAGGTGCTGGTGAGGCTGCTGCTCTAGGTGCTAGTGCATCTCCTGCCCCAGGTGCTGGTGAGTCTTCTCTCTCGGGTACCACGTCGGCTCAGGCCTTACACACCTTCACCCTTGACTCAGGTGCTTCCTGCTCCTTCTTTCGAGACCGCACCACGCTTACGCCGCTTAGTTGTCCAGTTGCGGTCTCCCTGGCGGACCCCTCTGGGGGTCCTGTCCTTGCTCGCTTCTCCACTGTCTTACCGTTTCCGGCAGCCCCCTCTGGCACCCTGTCTGGTCTCTACCTCCCCTCGTTCTCTACGAACTTGGTGAGTGGTGCTGATCTACAGGATCGGGGGGTTGACCAGTTGACTCCTACGAGTCAACAGGTGACCCACTATACGTGTGCTCGGACGGGCCGACACTTGGCCACGTTTACCCGTCGGCCAGGGTTGAGCCTGTACACACTTACTACTGAGTCTCCTCCGGTTGCTGAGTCTGGTCAGGTAACTGCGTAGAGTCAGGTGTTTGCTGTAGCGTCCAGGTGTGGTCCTGAGTTTGCTCGCTGCTCGTGTCGTCTGCTGTCCCACCAGACTCTCCTTTGGCACCACCGCCTTGGTCACCCCTCCCTGCCTCGTCTCCGAGGCATGGCCTCTCGTGTCCTTGTCTCTGGTCTCCCCCGGTCCCTCGCTCCCCTCCCTCCGGGGCCTGCCCCTACCTGCGTTCCTTGCGTCGAGGGGCGGCAGCGCGCCGCCCCTCACTCCTCCGAGTTTCCTCCGACAGAGGCTCCGCTGTAGACTCTTCATATGGATGTGTGGTGCCCCGCCCGCGTCCGTGGCCAAGGTTACGAGCGTTACTTCCTGTTGGTGGTTGACGAATACTCGCCTTACACCACGGTGTTCCCCTTGCGCAGCAAGGGTGACGTCACTGAGGTGTTGATCGACTGGATCCGCGCAGCTCGTCTCTAGCTCAGAGAGAGTTTCGGCTCGGACTTTCCTCTTCTGCGTCTCCACTCTGACAGAGGCGGGGAGTTTTCCTCTGCCAGTCAGGGAGCCTTCTGTCGTGCACAGGGCATCCGTCAGACGTTCACGCTTCCGGCCTCTCCACAGCAAAATGGGATTGCTGAGAACCGCATTGGCATGGTCATGGACGTCGCTCGTACGTCCATGATCCATGCGGCTGCTCCCCATTTTTTGTGGTCGTTTGCGGTTCAGTACGCAGCGCATCAGCTCAACTATCAGCCCCGGGTCTCCTTGCCAGAGACCTCCCCCACCTTGCGGTGGGCGGGTAAGGTTGGCGATGCGTCTGCGTTTCGGGTCTGGGGATCTCAGGCGTTTGTCCGCGACTTGTCTGCGGACAAGCTGTCCCCCCGTACTGTTCCCTGCGTCTTCCTTGGCTTCCCCCCTGACGCGCCTGGTTGGCAGTTTTACCACCCCACCTCGCGCCGTCTTCTGTCCTCCCAGGACGTCACCTTTGACGAGTCGGTGCCTTACTACCGTCTCTTCCCCTACCGCACTGCGCCCCTCCCCCCACCGCCGCTCTTCCTTGCGCCAGGTCCTCCCCCGGTAGACCCTCTCCCCCCTCAGTGTCCTGCCCCGTCAGGTGTGTCCCAGGTAGACGCAGTCGAGCCTGTCGAGGTAGCTGTTGACTCTGGTGCTGCTAGGGGCGCTGAGCCTGCGGGTGCCGGGTCTGGGGGTGCTGAGTCTGGGGGTGCAGAGCCTGGGGGTGCTGAGTCTGGGGGTGCTGAGCCTGGGGGTGCTACGACTGGGGGTGCTGGGTCTGCTCGTGTGGCCTCTGGCGGTGCTTCGTCGAGGCGGAAGCTACTCTCTCCGCAGGAGCTGCACGAGTGGTTTGCTCGGCGTTGGAGCCGTGCTGCTGGAGCTAGAGGTACTACTGTTGCTCCTGGTCCTGGAGGTGCTCGTACTGGCGGTGCTGCTGGGGCTGCTGGAGTTAGTCCTGCTGGAGGTACTGCTGGAGCTGCTCGCGGTACTGGAGCTGACGATCCTGCTGGAGTTTATTGGAATAACTGAACAGGAATGGATGAACTAACAATGAAATGAGTACAAGTACCTAACCCAAGAACTGTGTACCCCCTATAGGCTAACCCACTGTAGCCTAAACTAACACAACATATATAATGTTTGACACACCCCCATAGGCGAAGTGGGGGAGAACTAGGGGTCACAAGACCAGTCAAGGCAAAGCAAGACAAAACAAGCTCAGGGTGGATCTCAAGGATACCACACAAATTCCGAGCACAAGCAAGTGGTCACAAGACCAGTTCACATGCAGGTTTATAATAGAGCAAAAGGTACAATGATCACAACCTAGCAAGAGTAAACATGCAGGTATATATATAGAGATCACAGTACAAACAAACTCAAGAAGTAAGCAAGTGAGGTCCAGTAGGCACAAGGCCTAGGAGAGTGCAAAAGCGCTGATGGTCACAAGGCTGAAGCGCCTTGGTGAACACATCAGCAGTGTTGACCTCAGAGGCCACGTAACGCAGGCGAAGCTGACCACGCTGCTGCAGCTCTCGAGCATGGAAGTAACGTAGAGCAATGTGCTTCGTTCTGTGCTCCTGTCTGTGCTCCTCACACAAGGCAATGGCTGCCTTGTTGTCGACGTACAGCACTGGAGGAGAACGAGGCTGCTCTCCAAGGTCGGTCAGCAATTAGGTAAGCCAGCGTAGCTCCTGGGCCGCCATGGCTGTGGCGTAGATCTCAGCCTCACAACTGGAGCTGAGAACAGAAGAAGAGCAAGTAGAACGCCAAGAAACAGAACCAGAGCCAAGACTGAAGGAGTAACCCTGAGACGACCGCTGAGTAGCCTGGTCGTCTGCCCAAGAAGCGTCTGAGTGCCCAGTGAGAACAACTGGGACTTGCCCTCCAAGCACTAGCCCCATGCCCGACGTACTGCACAAGTAGCGCAACACCCTCTTAGCTGCATCCATGTGCTCCTTCCGGTGACGGTCGGGAGCGACATAGCGTGCAAGAATGCTGAGAGGGTATGCAAGGTCTGGTCGAGTGCAGGTCATCAGGTACATGAGGCAACCCACAAGCTCTGGATACGGGTCACTCGGCTCTACGGACTCATCCGAAGGCAGAGCTGAGAGCGAGTGACCGGTAGGCAGAGGAGTGGAATGAGGCGAGGAGTACGTGAAGCGGAAGCGCTGCAGGACCTGCTGCACCATGTGTGACTGAGTCAAGGTGATGGTGTGGCGTGCTCTGTCCCGGGTGATCCGCAAGCCAAGATAGCTTGTCAGTTCACCCAAGTCTGTGCACGTGTGTCTCTTCTGCAGCTCGGACTTCACGTGGGCGAGTGCCACAGTGTCAGCAGTAGCAAAGACCAAGTCGTCGACGTACACAAGGACGTAGAACGGCGGCAGTGAGGTGTCGGTGCGTAGAAACAGCGACGGGTCAGCAGTAGAAGGTGCGAACCCAAGAGCCGCAAGCATAGTCCTCAGTGTGTCGTGCCACTCACGAGGCGCCTGGCGGAGACCGTAGACTGGCCGTCGGAGGCTCCACTGGGTACCAGGAGGGAACAACCCAGTGAAGCCAGGTGGACGGTGCAGCCAGATCTCCTCGTGCAGGCTGCCCTGCAGGAAAGCAGTGCTGGAGTCAAGCGAGTGGAGCTCGTAGTCACGCTGAGCGGCGACGTGCAGCAGAACCCGAAGAGTGGTCATCTTCGGGGTCGGGGAGAAGGTCTGGAAGAAGTCAACTCCCTCTCGCTGACTGAAGCCTCGTGCAACGTAACGCGCCTTTAAGACAGGCGGAGAGCCCGGCGGCCGCTTCACCCTGAAAATCCACATGCCACTGACGATGTTCGCCCCAGGCGGGGGAACCTCGTCGACGTAGGTGCCTGTGGACTTCCAGGAAGCCATCTCTGTGTCCATGGCTGACTGCCACTAAGAGGAGTAGGGATCGGCCATCGCCTCTGCGTAAGAGCGTGGGGTCGGGATGTCTGGTGCATCCGGGTCTCCCTCAGGGGCAACAAGCATGGACACGAGATGGGGCAAAACGGCAGCAAAGCACTCAAACTCCTCTTGCCTGTCCTCAAGGACGTCAGTGCCAAGAGCACACTCACCCCCGACAGACGGAGGACAGACAGACTCAGACTCAGCAACAAGGCAAGCAGCGTAGTCAAGACGACAGCGAGCAGCAAAGTCGACAAGCTCAGCAACTAAGGCAGACGCAGCAGCAGACTCAAAGGAAGGGTCAGTGACAACAGTAGCCAGGAGACGCGTGATAGTAGGACTGGCAGCACGAAGAGAGTCTGACCCAGGGTCAGCAAGAGCAAGAAGAGAGGAAGCAGGAGGAGACGGCAGTGGGACACGCTGTGGAGTAGTGGACGGACGAAGCGCCATCCGGTGAGTGCCTGGGACAGCAGGAAGACGCTGAGGCTGGACACGACTACTAGAGAGAGCAGTGTGAACAGGCGACTCAGGACGAGACTCCGGCGACGCAGGACAAGACTCAGGCTCACGACGCTCAGTAAGACCTCCAGTCGGACCAGTGTAAGGAGCAGGACCAGTGAGAGAGGAGGCAGAGTGTAACTGCGACTTCAGATGGACAGACGGAGGACACGCTAAGGAGGGAGGAGGACAAGGAGGAGGGAGCTGACCAAGAACCTGCTGAAGGAGCGGAACGAAGTACGGCTGGGACCGTGCAGCAACACCAGAGTCAGCAGGGACACCCGCACCAGGGTCCGCAGCACCAGTGGTAGCTCCAACACCGGGGTCCTCAGCACCAGCAGCAGCTCCAACGCCCGGGTCCGCAGCACCAGCGGTAGCTTCAACGCCCGGGTCCTCAGCGCCAGCAGCAGCTCCAACGGCAGCGGGGTCCGCAACACGAGGCACGCCACTCTGAAGAGTGCAGCGCTGCTCGTACCACTCACGGATCCGCTCGCGGGAGGGGAGCTCCCTAACGGGAGAAGAGGCACTAGCACCAGTCCCAGCAGTACGTCCGGCTCGAGCGGTACCTCTCCGGAGGCTGCAGTACTGTAAATACCACGTACGCAGCTGCTCCGAGAGAGGGCTCCTCCAGGTGTAGGACTCCCAGGCCCAGTACCTCCAGACCCAGAACTCCCAGACTCCGGACTCTGCGGCTCAGCACCACGAGGCTCCACACCCCCAAGCTCGGCACCCCCAGGCTCCACACCCCCAGGCTCCACACCCCCAGGCTCCACACCCCCAGGCTCAGCACTCCCAGGCTCCACACCCCCAGGCTCCACACCCCCAGGCTCAGCACCCCCAGGCTCAGCACCCCCAGGCTCAGCACCCCCAGCAGGACGAGAGTCGACAGCGACCTCAACAGGCTCAACCGGGTCTACTTGAGACACACCTGAGGGAGCAGCACCCTGAGGGGGGAGGGGGTCTGCAACAGGAGGATCTGGCGCGAGGAAGAGAGGCGGGGGGGGGAGCGGGGCAGTGCGGTAGGGGAAGAGGCGGTAGTAGGGGACGGACTCGTCAAAAGTGACGTCCCGAGAGGGCAAGACTCGGCGCGAGGTGGCGTGGTAAAACTGCCAACCAGACGCGTCCGGGACAAAGCCGAGGAAGACGCAGGGAACAGCACGGGAGGAGAGCTTGTCCGCAGACGTATCGCGGACAAAAGCTCGGGACCCCCAGACCCGGAAACGCGACGCATCGCCAACCTCCCCCGTCCGCAGCAGCGTGGGCGAGGTCTCCGGCAAGGAGACACGGGGCCAGAGGTTGAGCTGATGTGCAGCGTACCGGACCGCAAACGGCCACAGAAAGTGGGGGGCAGCCGCATGGATCAAGGAGGTACGGGCGACCTCCATGACCAGGCCAATGCGGCGCTCCGCAACCCCATTCTGCTGTGGAGAGGCCGGAAGCGTGAACGACTGCTCAATGCCGTGCTCAGCACAGTAGGCTGCCAAGAGGTCGGAGGAGAACTCACCACCTCTGTCAGAGTGCAAGCGTAGGACAGGAAAGTCCGAGTGAAAACGCTCGCTGAGCTGGAGACGGGCTCTGCGGATCCAAGGGATCAAGACATCAGGGACCTCACCCTTGGTGCGCAAGGGAAAGACCGAGGTGTAGCGCGAGTAGTCGTCAACAACTATCAGGAAGTACCTCTCCTGACCCTGACCACGGACGCGGGCTGGGCCCCACACGTCCATGTGGAGCATCTGCAAGGGAGCAGTCGTCGGGGGAAACGAGGAGGAGTGAGGAGCGGCGCGCTGCCGTCCCTCGACACAGGGGAGACAGGTAGGAGCAGGCGAGGGTGGGAGGGCAGGAAGGACCCTGGGCAGGCCAGAGACAAGGTACCGGGAGTGCATGGCACGAAGCCGCTGCACAGACGGGTGGCCAAGGCGGTGGTGCCAGAGGACAGTCTCGTGTGCCAGAGAGCGACACGAGCAGGGGGCCGACAGCTGACCTGACGCGGACGCAGACGCAGACGCAGCAACCTGAGGGGACTCAGTAGTCAGTGTGTACAGGTCCGACCCCGGCTGCCGAGTGAAGGTAGCCAAGTGACGGCCCGTACGAGCACACGTACAGTGTCTCACGCGCTCGTAGGCAGGGGTGAACTGGTGAACACTCCCGTCCTGGAGCGCACATCCTGCCACCAAGTTCGTAGAGAACGAGGGGAGGTGGAGACCTGACAGTGTGCCCGACGGGACCGCAGGACAGGGAAGGACAGTGGAAGAGGTCGCAATGACCGGACCCCCAGAGGGGTCAGCAAGGGAGACAGCAACTGGCCGAGCAAGCGACTCAAGGGCAGTGCGGTCACGAAAGAAGCATCGAGAAGCACCTGAGTCCAGTGTGAAGGTGTGCAGTGCTGCAGTCGACTCAGTACCAAGGGGGGCAGACACACGAGCACCTAGAGCAGCAGCCTCACCAGCACCTGGGGTAGCCGACACGCGAGTACCTGGAGCGGCAGACGCACTGGCCCTAATGCCCGGGTCGGGCGGCACACACAAGTACTCAGCACCCTCTCCACTAGTAGACATCACATACATGGCAGATAGAATAGCATCAAAGTCTAGAGCATAGATATCAATCCCTTTCTTCTGGAGATCAAGCCAGCGGGGCAGCTCAGTGGCCTGAGGGAACTGAACACGCCAAGCGTCGTCGAGACGAGAGAAGCAGCGCTATGTGGCGTGCGGTCGTCCACACTGCTGACCAGTGCGGTCACCAGTGCGAATGACGTACGTGCAGCTAAGACCACCCCCACCCCCGTGCTGAGAGTATCACTCACGGACCTCCTGGGGCGAAGGAGTGTGCTGCTGGCCCTGGCCACCGCCAGCGCCTCCACGGCCACCACCACCGCTGCCACCTCCTCGACCACCCCAACCCCTGCCGCCGCCTCGTCCACCGCCACCCCAACCACCGCCTCCGCCCCTGCCACCTCCCCCGCCGCTGCCGCCACCACCCCCACCGCTACCACTCGCCCCTCTAGCCGAGCCACCACCCCCACTGCCTCCACCGCCCCCACCGCCGCCTCCCCCGCCGTCACCCGCCACCACCCTTGCCCCCTTTGCCCTTGCCGCTGCGGCGCCCGCAAGAGGCAGATGCAGCGCCGACCTTCTCAGCACCAAGAAGGTCGACAGCAGCAGCAGAGGCGACAGAGGGAAGAAGGGGGGAAGGAGAACACCCCTCAAAGAACGGGGTACGGGGGTCGCCACGAGAGGCACCTACAGCGACTATGCTAGTCTCAGCTGCAAGCAGCTCCTTCTCGAGGAGGGCAATGGTGAGCTCAGTGGGGCAACGAGCTAGGAAGTGGTCCCTGACAGCACGCAGTGTGTCAGGGAGGCGGGTGACTAGGTGGTAGAGAGTGAGCCAGAGTGGAGGGGGGTGCGTGGCAAGGAACTCAGCGGGCATGGCGGCACGGAAGCGGGCCTCACTAGTACGGAGGTGCGTGATGAGGTCAGCGGCTGTGTGGAACGAGGCCAGGTCGGGAAACAGGTAGGGGAGGGAGAGATGGCCTAGCGCGGCAGAGGCAGGTGAGGAGTAGCGAGCAACGACAGCTGTGTACAGTGCCTGTGCAGTCTTGTGATGGCCAAAGTGCTCGCGTTCGTCTATCGGCAGGGAGTTGCGAATAGCGAAGCGAGCATGGGCATCACGAGTCTGCCACTGCAAGCGAGCAGTGCTGTCAGCAGTAGCAGCATGGGCAGTGACATGGCCTAGGGCGTGGTCGTACAGTGAGATGTCGTCCTTGGCTGTGAGCTGTAGATAGAGATGCAGGTCATCTAGCCAGGTATCGAACTTCACTGGGCGGCCCTCAGCATCGAAAGCTAGCACAGGAGGGCTAGCCATAGCAGCAGTAGAGTAGCAGGTGTGTAGGAAGCGTGCACAAGTGTGCGGGAAGTGTGCACAAGTGTGCACAAGTGTGCGGGAAGCGAACACAAGTGTGCTGGAAGTGTGCACAAGTGTGCACAAGTGTGCGGGAAGCGAACACAAGTGTGCTGGAAGTGTGCACAAGTGTGCACAAGTGTGCGGGAAGCGTGCACAAGTGTGCGGCGCGCGGGCCTCTCGGTTCGGGTCGGGTCGCGCGGCTCGGGTCACGCGGCTCGGTTCGGTCGCGGGCTGCGGCGGGAACGGGCCGCCCGGGGCCTCTAAGGGCGGTGGGCACGGGGCCGGTCGAGGTGGCTTGGGGCCCTAGAGAGGCGAGCGCGGGGCCGACGGGGCCTGAACGGGGCTAGCGCGGGGCCTACGGGGCCTGAAAGGGAGCCGACGGGGCCTGAACGGGGCTAGCGCGGGGCCGATCGGGGCCTGAATGGGGCTAGCGCGGGGCCGACGGGGCCTGAACGGGACTAGCACGGGGCCGACGGGGCCTGAACGGGGCTAGCACGGGGCCGACGGGGCCTGAACGGGGCCGCTAGGGAGAGCGGGCGTGGGGCCGACGGGGCCTTAACGGGGCTAGCGTGGGGCCGTCAAGAGGGGCCTCTAGGGGCGTGACACAGTCGAGGCGCCCTAGGGCGCAAGTAGGTAGGTAGGTAGGTAGTTAGGTAGTGGTGGGCCCTTAGAAAATTCCGGTCCTAGGAAGGACCTGCTCTATACCATGTTGGAATAACTGAACAGGAATGGATGAACTAACTGTGAAATGAGTACAAGTACCTAACCCTAGAATTGTGTACCCCCTATAGGCTAACCCACTGTAGCCTAAACTAACACAACATATATAATGTTTGACAGAGTTGGTGCTACTAGAGCTGCTGGAGCTAGAGCTGCAGGGGGTGTTGGGGCTGGTGGTTTTGCTAGCGCTGGTGCTTCTGAGGGTGGTGGAGTTGGCGCTGTTGGAGCTGGAGGTGCTGCTGGCGCTGGTGCTACCGCTGGGGGTACTGGTGCTGTCCCTGCTAGTTCTGGAGGCACTGCACGGCCGAGGCCGTACTTCGTTCCGCTTCTTGAACAGATTCTTGGTCTCCCGAATTCTACTTATCCTGCTTCTCCCTTACAGTGTCCACAACCTGTCCACTCACGGTCACAGTTACAGCCCGCCTCCCCCCTACCTGCTCCTTCTCCCTATACTGGTCCTACTGGAGGTCTTGCTGAGCGTCGTGAGCCTGCGTCTCGTCCTGCATCGCCTGTTCGTGCTGCTCGCACTAGTCGTCGTGCTGCGCGTCCGCGTCCTCCTGCGGTCCCAGGCACACACCAGATGGCACTGCCTCCTTCCACTGCTCCTCTGCGTGTCCCGTTGTCGTCTCCTCCGGAGTCCTCTCTTTCTTCTCTTGCTGACCCGGAGTCTGACTCTCTTCGTGCTGCCAGTCCTACTGTCACGCGTCTTCTGGCCACTGTTGTCACTAACCCTTCCTTTGAGTCCACTGCTGCATCTGCCTTAGTTGCTGAGCTTGTCGACTTTGCTGCTCGATGTCGTCTAGACTACGCCATTAGTCTCGTTGCTGAGTCTGAGTCTGTCTGTCCTCCGTCCGTCGGGGGTGAGTGTGCTCTTAGCACGGACGTCCTTGAGGACAGGCAGGAGGAGTTCGAGTGCTTTGCTGCTGCTTTGCCTCATCTCTTGTCCACGCTGATTGCCCCTGAGGGAGACCCGGATGCACCAGACATCCCGACTCCTCGATCGTACGCTGAGGCGATCGAGGGTCCATACTCCTCACAGTGGCAGTCAGCCATGGACGAAGATATGTCTTCCTAAAAGTCCACACGCACCTACGTTGACGAGGTTCCCCCACCTGGGGCAAACATCGTCAGTGGCATGTGGATTTTCAGGGTGAAGCGACCGCCGGGTTCTCCGCCTGTCTTCAAGGCGCGTTACGTGGCTCGAGGCTTCAGTCAGCGGCAGGGAGTTGACTACTTTCAGACCTTCTCTCCCACCCTGAAGATGACCACTCTTCGGGTGCTGCTGCACATAGCTGCTCAGCGCGACTACGAGCTTCACTCTCTAGACTTCAGCACAGCTTTCCTGCAGGGCAGCCTGCACAAGGAGATCTGGCTGCGCCGCCCACCTGGCTTCACTGGGTCGTTTCCCCCTGGTACCCAGTGGAGCCTATGGCGGCCAGTCTACGGTCTCCGCCAGGCGCCCCGTGAGTGGCACGACACACTGAGGACTACACTTGCGCCTCTTGGGCTTGCTCCTTCTACAGCCGACCCGTCGTTGTTTCTGCGCACCGACACCTCTTTGCTGCCATTCTACATCCTCGTGTACGTCGACGACTTGGTCTTTGCCACTGCTGACACTGCTGGACTCACCCACGTGAAGTCCGAGCTACAGAAGAGACACACGTGCACAGACCTGGGCAAACTGCGCAGCTACCTTGGCTTGCAGATCACCCGGGACAGAGCACAGCGCACCATTACCCTCACTCAGTCACACATGGTGCAGTAGGTCCTTCAGCGCTTCGACTTCACGTACTCCTCGCCTCAGGCCACTCCTCTGTCTACTCGCCACTCGCTCTCAGCTCTGCCTTCGGATGAGTCCGTAGAGTCGAGTGGCCCGTACCCAGAGCTTGCTGGCTGCCTCATGTACCCGATGACCTGCACACGACCTGACCTTGCATACCCTCTTAGCATCTTGGCACGCTATGTTGCTCCTGGGAGACACAGACCAGAGCACATGGCTTCAGGCAAGAGGGTGTTGCGCTACGTGTGCAGTACGTCGAGCATGGGGCTAGTGCTTGGAGGGCGACGTTGAGTGGTCCTCACAGGTCACGCTGACACTTCTTGGGCTGACGGCCAGGCTCTGCAGCGGTCGTCACAGGGTGACACCTTCAGCCTTGGCTCCTGCTCTGTTTCGTGGCGGTCTACCCGCTCGTCTTCTGTTCTCGGCTCCAGCTGTGAGGCTGAGATCTACGCGGGGGCCATGGCTGCACAGGAGCTACGCTGGCTCACCTACCTGCTGACTGACCTAGGAGAGTCGCCTTGTTCTCCTCCAGTTCTGTACGTAGACAACAAGGCCATGCTGGCCTTGTGTCGGGAGCACAGACAGGAGCACAGATTGAAGCACATTGCTCTCCGCTACTTCCTGGCTCATGAGCTGCAGCAGCGTGGTCAACTGCGCCTTCCTTACGTGGCCTCTGAGGCCAACACTGCTGATATCTTTACCAAGGCACTTCCGCCTTGTGATCATCAGCGCTTCTGTACGATGCTAGGTCTTGTGCGTACTTGGCCTCACTTGCTCACTTCTTGACCTTGCTTGTACTGTGATCTTTCTATACCTGCACTTGCTTGTTTACCTTTATATATGATCTTGCATGTGAACTGCCCTTTTGGCCTTGCTCATGTGCTCGTACTGTGTGGTGACGTTGTGATCCACCCTGAGCTTGCTTTGCTTTGCTTGACTGGTCTTGTGACCTCTTGATCTCCCCCACTTTGCCTATGGGGGTGTGTCAAAGGTATATGCTATAATCTGTGTAGGGTTTAGTGGGGTAGACAATATGGGGTACAACACTTTTAGGTTTTCCTACTTGTACCCACCTGCTTGCTAGTTCATTCATCCTCATTCTCTCGCATCGTCCGCCATGACGGAGAAGACGACCACGGCACGACACACCCCGACGCGACGAATGCGGCCTGGAATCAGCCTCGCGTCACGATCTCCGTGCCACCTGGCGAATCAACCCTACCGTCGCCGATGCCGCTGAAGCCGCAGCGTCCGCCATGTTTCGATTCAAGTCAGCGGGATGGTCCTACCGTTCAGGCGTGGCTCTTCACGTTGAATGTTTTCTTCGACGCAAACTACGTGTCGGAGGATACGGCGAAGATTTGTTACGCCGTGTCGTTGTTGTGAGGACCCGCCATTGACTGGTGGCGTGTCATCGTCACGAAGCCGGTGGACTACGCGACTCTACCAACACGGGAAGGACAAACCGGACCCTGGGCGCCGTCGTATTTTGTGGAGGTGCCCCAGTATCGCATGTGGGACGCGTGGTGCGCAGGTCTGCGTGCTCATTTCGAGCCAATTGCGGCTTCGATTGCGGCACGACAGAGGCTCCGCACTTGGCGCCAAGCCGGTTCCGTCGAAGACTACACGAGTGGGTTTCTGGTGCTATGCGAGCAAGTGGGTTATATGCACGAGAGCGAACGCATCGAGCGCTACATCGGCGGCCTCAAGCAGGACATCGCTCAGGAAATCCAGCTTTGCAGCATCACCGATTTTCAGGAGATTCTCGTCATGGCGGAGAAACTACATTTCTTCCGCCGACCGAGACCGGGGTGCTACGGAAGCAGAAATTTGGGACATCGGCCTCGTGGGACGAACGAGGGCGCTACGATACGTGTCGTCGCCGCAAATGCCGATGCCGCACCGTTCAAAGGGCGCTGCTTTGCGGTTGCAATCGCCCGGGACACCGAAAGAGCGAATGCCCGGAAAACGCTAAGGGAAAGGGGGAAGCTGAGCAGCAGAAACAGACCAAGCAGCAGGGAAACGCTGGGAGTCAGTAGTAGACGGGCCCTCTACTGACAGGTCGCGCCGCTCGCCCAACCCATCCGACCCTCACCGAGTGATTGTGCCGGTTCACGCAATCGACCACACCCGGCCGAATAAGGAGGGTACTACGGTAGACAGACCTATACTGCTTAGTGGGAAAATCGGGACGGACTTAGTTAAACTCTTCGTAGACGGAGGGGCCAGCCACAGCCTTATCAACACTGCCATAGCACGAAAACTGGACAGAGGTTTACGTGAGATCGACGCAAGACTGGTCGACGGCACGCCACTAGCAATACGGGAACGCGTGGACCGAGTTCGGATTCGATGCGGGGGTAACTTCACGTTTAGCCAGGAAATGCTCGCAACGACCCTCGACGGAACCGATATTTACTCGGGCGTGATTGGCTGCGACGACACAACCCACGAATCGACT